TAGAAATTTTGATTGCAGAGATACGAGTTATTCAGTAAGAATTAGCTCATGTTTCAGTGTACTTTGTCAGTTATTTTAAATTATAGCAGGAGGAAGACGAGGCATGCGATGTTCTTACCTCTATCTAAGCATTAAGGTTACAGTGACCTGCAGACACATTAGAATCATAACACAAAGGGTTGACTTTAGCCACACTGACACACGCAGAAAGGCTAAAGAAATGAGGTTTGTTCAGCCTGGAGGAGGGAGGGTCTGATCTGAGTCTTCCTTTAGCAAGACAGTGGTTACAGAGAAAGGTGCAGGTGTGCCTTTCGCCAGGGACCACGCTGTCAGGGCAGGAGACTGTGGGAATGAGTTGCTTCAGATGAAGTTGTCTGTATGTGGGCAATATGTTCTTCACCTGTAGAGCGGTTAACTACGAACAAGTTGCCCAGTGAAGAGAGGGAGTCTCCCTTGAGGATTTGGCTTGTCAAAGTTCTGGGTCATCTCATCTAAGGCCCTGCATTCTGCAGAAGGTGGGACGAGTGATCTCCAGAGGCTCTTGTCAACCTAGAAATTTCTGTTCTGTGATTTACATTGCCGAGCTGCTGCAGTTTACCAGCTTAACCAAGGGCTCTGTTTTACGTGGCATCTTCCACAGTCTTCCTGAATAATGTTTATAATAGTGCTAATTGTTTTGAGAACTCTTGAGAAATTAAAGAGCTGTCTGAGCTTAAATTTAGTGGCTATAGTAGCCACATGACATTAAGTACAGTGTCCAGTGTGTTGTACGTAATGGCTGTGCAGCACTGGCTGTTTCTCTGAAAATCAGAACTGCCAATTTGAAACTGGTTCAGGATGCTTTAATTTCTGACTAATGAGTACTTTCTAAGCCTTCAATTACAAGAAAAGTTGTGGTTGCCTAAATTCATGCATTTTTTGAAGTCATGAAGTTTTTCTTCAACCAGAGGTTTTTCAGTTCTTATATAATGATTTTTAAGTCAGCGTTCTGTAGATGTGGATATGTGTCTGTTAAATTCTGATTTGGGGATTGAACCGTAAATGCATCATCCCCAGTTTAACCTTGAGGGTACCAAGTTTGCCTTTTTGACAAGTTCAAGGTCACTGAGTGCTCCAAGCCTTCTGAGCTGGTACTGCAGCAGAAAAACGCTTTTACCCTTCTATTCATACTTACCTTGTTCCTGCAGTTTTGTGGATCCTTGATGAATTAGATGGAGAAACTCAACTAAATTACAGAGAGATATTTAAAAAAAAAAAAAAAAAAGGTCAGTGAGTTGGTTTTGGTTTTTGCACCAAAGCCAGTGTGTTAGAGAATGAAATTTTCCATGCTGCGGGTCCATTCTAACTTCAGCTGTAGTGAATCAAACAAGGGAGTAGGTACAAGGATAAATGTGATTTCATGTTCTTTACTCAACTTACTGGCTCAAAGCCTTCATAATTGTTTGTCTGTAGTCATTGCATGCAGCATCAGCAACAGCAGTTTTTAAGTGGTCTGACCGATAGTGTTTTGTAGGTACTGATTGTCAGTACTGTGAGGTTTTGCAGGAGAATGCAACTCTCCTAGTCTCTGAAGTCTTTCAGGTGATGGTACTTCATGGTGCTCTTTGTATCATGCCTATTCAGTTTCTCATATAGTTCACTTCAAATGACTTAGGAATTCTGCTGAGAAACTGCAGTTTTTTTCCGTGCCTGAAGATTAAGAGCACTGAATCTGTCATCAGAAATGGCTTGCTTGACTTGGAGGGAAACTCTCAAATGATTCCTGTTCTGTAAGCTTTCAGTAGGTCAGTTAATAAATAAACCTCCGCTGTCAAGCTTTGATTCTTGATTTCCTAAGTTAATACATATGCAGTAACTAAAGTGATAGGAAAGATACAGCAAAAGCGATGACAGACCTGTGGGTTGTCGTACAAAGGGCTGTTGTGCGAGCAAACCCAAACAGGTTGCAGGAACAACCACAAAACCGTAGATGAAATGCAAAGAGTAAGTTTGTTCTGATTATCTCACCAAGCTGGGTATCCCCAAAGCAGCACCTTGGCAGAGGCACACAAGCAGAGACACAGGCACTGCAGCGCTTGAACCATGCTGGAGGAGGAGGAGGAGGTTTCAAACCTGCTGTTTTTGCATGTGTCAGGGATTTTCACAGGCATAGTTTTCCACTTCAATCTTTCCAACAGCAGGGCCCATAACTGCCTATGTTATCTAAACACACGTTCTACTTGTCAAATACCCAAGACTGGGTAACTGTTAGTGTGATATACGTGCTTTTCAGCACCCATCCTGCAATCACTTGAGCGTTTTTACAGGCCTCCTTGCCAACCTTCTGTTATTTCCTTACCGTTGCCCTCTGTAGAAATCTCTGTATATAAAGAGCTAACACATACTATGAGGTGTAAAAAAAGGTTCTCCTAAGTCGTCTTTGTTAGTCTTAGAACATGTCTCTTAATTATCTGTGAGGCAGGATAGGGTATGGAATAAGGGTGCAGTGTCTTGGTGGCTCTCTGTCAGGATGTGTGTGTGTCCAGTGGTGCCAGATGTTCTTGCTCATCAGTGTGAATTCCAACACACTGTATGGGCTCTTCTTTACTCACGCTGATACTATTAACTCAGAAAATCAAGTCTAAATAAACAAAATGAAACCTAACTATATGCAAACACACTTTTAACATTCCTTTGGTGTATGTATTTTTAAGTATAGATTAATGTCTGTCTTATGTATACAGACTTGTGGTTTTGGATCTAGTTTGCAGCACTTCCTAGTGCTGAAGTTGGTATGTGGTTTGTGCCTCACTGCAAGTACCTTAGCTGGGTAACATAGTGTGAAAATGTCTTTAAGTGGTTTCAGTAAAAGATGGCAACAGTTTGTGAAAGTCAGAATATATACATGAGGTGTCAAAGAAATGATTTAGTGTAGCTGAACTGTACATTCCTTTTCTGTTTTGTTTTTTTAACACAAATAGTGGGTTATTATCTAGAATTGGATTTTGGGTTATACAGATTTCATCAATGGCAAAAACTGATAGAAGCCTTGAAGTGCTAATTTTGCACATTGAAAGAATTATTATGTCACTGGATGCCTTAAAAGATAGCTTGTTCCACACAGAAGTACCTTTGTGTGCAGCATATGTTTTTGGCTTTCTATATTCAAAAACTTCATAGTAATAGCAAAGGGACATAGTTTAGAATCCAGTGATTAAAGTTGTGTTTTTGTTTTTTTTGTGTTTTTTTTTTTTTGCCATAAATACTTGGGAGCAATGGAGATGTACCCTATTCCATGTTTGATTTTTCTTTTTCCTGTTTTTTGCAAGGATCACAGAGTTCCTTGGAGGGATTTTGTGAAGGAAGACTGTTAGTGTTCAGTGTCTAAACAACTAGCCAGATTATAGATTGAAACCTTTTTTTTTTGCAAGCGTGGTATGAAAAGCAACAGAAAAGGTGAGGGTCAAAGTATAAGACAGTGTACAGTCAAGTAACTTAAGCCTAAGAAGCCTCCATTTTTCAGCTGGGTTGTGGCCATTACTTGTGCTTTGTAATTCTGGAATCCAATTCTGAAGCAGAAGTTGTTGGCTTAAATTCTAATTGTGGATAGGCACCTGATGACTACAGCAGCTGGTCACCCTTTGAGGTTGTGCCATTTTATTGAGATCGGTGTCTGCTGCATCGCCGTTTGGCTGCTGTGTTTTAATTAGAAGACTTCTTTTGGAGGTGTGTTTTGGGCTGACTCAATATGACCTTTTTTTTTTTTTTTGTCTTACTGTTGTGGTTCTGATGCAGAGCCATGTGCAGAAATTAAGTGGCTGTAGAGGCTTCTGTTCATATCTATCTCCTCATCTTCAGAGTTGCCTACTGCCTGTGGCTCACCAATTTCTGAGGTAACTGCAGATTATGACGTAGCCTCCTAAGGAAAGATGGCATTAGCTGATGTTTTTCCTTAGCATGCTCAACTGTGGTTTCTGCCTGTGTGGCACCTGTTTCACAATCCATCATCTTACCTGGAGAAAGCAGAGCAAGAATTTCTAGAAGGGTAGGCAGGTCCAACTGTGGGCAGTAAAATATACATCCTGCTAATTTTAATCTGAGTCAGAACTTCTGAGGTATCGTTATATGAACGTTTTCTCTCATAGCAAGCTGTCTCAGGTTGCTAAGCCAGTGGCATTGCTTTGGTCCTCTGTCAGAGCAAGTAATGCAGCTGTTTGAGGGGCTGTGCTGTGAGCTACGTGACTGCAATAGGTTGAGGTAAAAACAAAGACCTCAGAGGTGTCAGTTAGCAGGTGTGTTAGCACGTGTGTAGGGA